ACTCCTATAGACTACATTATAGACTTCGAAGTTGAGACTGACGATGTCGTCAAACTTCTTTGACTACCCATATCTATGTCATGGTGGACATTCCAGGATCAGATTGCCGAGACAATGGGCTGCCATGAGACCCGGCTACGCTTGGGCTATAGGCTCAGCACTGCAAGAGCGGGAGAGAAGGCACACAGCCTCGAGACACTGGACGAGTATTCCGAAATGCAACAAGAAATAGTCTCAGAACGCGAGAAACGGGTGGTCCTCCAGAAAAAGGCGTCCAAGATGAAGCCTCCGAAGGCGTTGAAAGTGTTGATTAAGGACAGGCGAAATAAGGCTGAAAAAAAGGTGTGAGAGTAGATAGATGTTCAAGAATCTCATGCAACGCTAATGCTAACAAATTTGTAAGACCATCGCGAAACCAAAAACCGCCTCAAAAACTTCTTGTGCTAAGCTCAACAATAGTGCCGATCCAGACTTGGTCGAGTCCACATCGGCAACGTATATGCGGCAACTCACAAACAAATATGGCAACTGTAATCAACATGGAGGGGAATCCTGTTTTGTCCGGCCTGATGGGACTCATCGGCACTTGACCATTGCAGAGCTCACTTTGTGGGCAATTTCCATCGTAAGTCTGATATTGGTTTGCTTGCTATGTAAAACTTATGAATACATAGGAATTGCACTGTGCAACCCTCTCAGTTCTCCTGACTCGCTCAAACTTTCAAGTGAGAATGATACTCGTCCGCCCAAACCCAGCAAGTCTAAACAAACACCTGGTGCGACATCCGGTTATCCTCCACCACCAATTCCAGGTGCCATGTGGCCATATCCCACAGGATTTGCACCGTTCAATACTGCCGTGCCTCAGGCATATGCAAGTCACGACGCAGGTGTAAATCCCGGTGCAATTCCAATCCGTCAGTTCGCATTTTAGGATGATCTCATGTGTTGCTCACTGTTGCTTCTGTTTATAGCGCTAAATTTACGCTACATGTCAATTGAAAGACTCCTTGAAGTGCTTGATGAAGAAGAACTGCCGCCAAAATCTCACCTCGCGATGAAGTACAAAGAGCAGTTTGCATCACACGGCTTTCGCACCATCTAGGATTTGACTGATACCGATTATCTCAGCCCCAAAGTACTCAGTGAACTCCTTGAGCCTAAACCCCCCTTTGCGACCTGTGTACGCATTATAAGGCGTGCGAAGGATGAAGTACAACACACTCAAGATGCTTATTTGTCTGGCGATAGGTCGGTTCTCATCTAGTACTTGGTTTCACAACCGCTTCACACCCTCGGTTCCCCATTCACACTCTTTTCCCGTGCAAATATATACCTTTCATGTAAATACCTTGCATTTCTCATTTAGTTCGTGCTCCCCAGGTGGCGGATGATGTTTAGTAATTATGACCGATCACGTGTTACAAGCCTTGCCTGCGCACTGTCACAAGCAAGGGGACATCGGAGCCACAACTCCACACCACCTCAGCCATCATCCTCCATTTCACATCATGTATCACACAGGCCCTGATGGGATGGGCGATAGCCTTCATGGCCGTGAGTTCGGAGGTGCCACACAGGCGGGTTCATCAATAGCTCATGCCCGCTCATCCTCCATAGCATCGACCAGCTCCCGTCACCACTTGAAAGGCTACCAGACCCGTCCTCTTCATCGCTAAACCTAACTAGCCATTTTATGTTGCGAAACCGGTCTCATACCCCAGATCCTCTTCCTTAGCCACGTCACCCACCTTGTCGACGTTTTCAAGTCCGTCTCACATGGCGGTTAGCTTTGCAACCTCATCCCGCCCATTGATTACCCCTCCCCCTACGTCTCCGCCTCGCCCTCGTAGGCGTTTGCACAAGAAGTCGCGTCCACAAGATTTCGACCCCAATGCTGCGAATTCCTATTCTGGCGATTCGTCGGGATTGCGCTCATACACTCCCTTCAGCTGTGTCGATGAAGATCAAGATCAACCGTTATTCGATGATATTCCTGAGGAGCGTGTATCGGGTACCATCACTCCATTACCGGTGCGAATAAAGTCTCCGAGTCCCCAACTGATGTCCAACGATTCCCCTGCTGCTTTTCCGGTTCCAACGCCATCATCTCCACCGACAAAAGCCCCATTGCTTTCCCATATCAGCTCCGTGAAACGTTGGCGATCGCGCGGATCTTCTCAGACCAGCAAAGATTTCGCTGGAGACATTTCTGTCGATTCCGGTACCAGCATCCCTTACCAACCACCTAAAACACCAGAGCCGTCTTTCTCGCGAGCTGTCACCCCAGCATCGCCTTCAACGAGCCGAAATTGGCTTTTTAGGACTACTCCTAGCCCAACTCAAAGCCAACGCCAGATCCCGGGCTCCATCTCAGCAACAGCAACAGTGCGTATCCCACATCCCGTTTCAGGAAGCGGAGCTCAACCACTGCCGGTTTCATTCACCTATATGATCTCGAAACTGGCACATGCGTCTACATGAACCGTATCAGCGGCGAAACTGTCTTCGTTACTGCAGAACATGAGGCCACTAACGGTATTATCGGGGTTAATAAGCAGGGCCCGGTGTTGAGTGTGAGCGCTGACGAGCAGACTGTCATCCCTTACATTCTTACCGTTCTGAACAACACCGAGCTGGCGGTCAAATTAGCTAGCCGGGCAAATTTACCTGGTGCTGACGAGCTGTATGTTCAGCAGTATCAGCAGCTTTTCGCCTCTGGCCAATATAGTGAAGCTGCCAAGATTGTGGCCAATTCGCCAAGAGTGAGCGATAATTTGACACTCTTATGTTGTTACGCACTGACGATTGCTCTCAGGGCATTCTTCGTACACCGCAAACCATAGAGCAATTCAAGCAAGTTCCTGTTCAACCAGGCACTCTTTCGCCCATATTTCAGTACTTTGGTATTTTACTCGAGAAAGGCAAGCTTAACAAGCATGAGTCACTTGAATTGGCGCGCCCTGTTCTTGCCCAGGGCCGTAAGCAACTGCTTGAGAAATGGCTCAAAGAGAACAAGGTAACAACTCCTCATCCAGCGTGAGCATAGAGGTTGACCACATAAGTTGCTCCAGCTTGAATGCACAGAAGAACTTGGCGACATTGTTCGCTTACACAACATGACCCTCGCTCTCTCGGTATATCTTTGCGCCAACGTCCCCAATAAGGTTGTCGCATGCTTCGCCGAGACGGGCCAATTCGACAAGATTCTATTGTACACAAAGAAAGTCGGCTACCACCCTGATTATGCGGCGCTTCTTCAGCACATTATGCAAGCAAACCCTGAGAAGGGTGCCGAGTTTGCAGCCCAGCTCGTAAACGATGAGAATGGGCCCCTTGTAGATATCGAACGCGTCATAGACATCTTCATGTCACAGAACCTTATTCAACCCACCATGTCCTTCCTCCTCGATGCCCTCAAAGATAATAAACCTGAGCAGGGTCATCTTCAGACTCGTCTCCTTGAGATGAATTTAGTTCATGCTCCCCAGGTGGCAGATGCAATTCTCGGAAATGAGATGCTCAGCCATTACGACCGACCACATATTGCCAACTTGTGCGAGAAGGCCGGCTTATTGCAGTGTGTATGCGATTCTCAAAGTTAGACTATTTTTCACTGACCAAGATTCCGCAGGCTCTCGAGCATTACGAGGATCGGATCAATATGCGCGAAAACCTTCAGGTGGTGGTCCAGATCGCAACCAAGTATTCCGACATTCTTGGTCCAGTCAAACTCATCGAGTTATTCGAGTTGTATAAGAGCTTCGAGGGGCTATATTACTACCTTGGCTCGGTCGTACATCTCAGTCAAGACTCCGAGGTTCACTTCAAGTACATCCAGGCCGCTACTCGGACTGGCCAGATCCGCGAGGTTGAACGAATCTGCTGTGAGAGCAATTACTACAATCCAGAAAAAGTCAAGAATTTCCTCAAGGAGGTGAAACTTTCCGATCAACTCCCACTTATCATCGTCTGCAATCGCTTCGACTTTGTGCACGATTTTGTTCTTTATCTTTATCAAAATGGATTGGTCAAGTTTATCGAGGTTTATGTTCAGTGCGTCAATGCGGCCCGCATGCCTCAGGTTGTGGGTGGCCTCCTGGACGTTGACTGCGACGAAGCGACTATCAAAAGCCTTCTCACCTCCGTTATCGGGATTTTCCCCATTGATGAGCTCATCGAGGAGGTTGAGAAACGTAATTGCCTTTGAACATTCTACAAAATGTAATTACATTTACGGAACCATGAATGTGCAAGTTCAGGTGTGATACGGAAAATATATTCATGCAAACGGGTGATTGTCGCGATTTTGGCATCATCATTATCAGTGATGCACATATCCTCACGAAGCACCTCATCGCGTTGAGTCAAACCTTTCAGCCAACCAAAGGATGGTTCGATTGGGCTGAAATCAGGGCTGTAAGGTGAAAGATAGACAACTTTTTTGCCACTAATAAAGACTTGTTAGCGTCACTTGTTGAAATAGAAGTAGACATGTATATACCTTGATTCGATCATTGACTTGATGTGTTCCCCTTTGTGAATACGGCAATTGTCCATCACGACAACTGAATTCGGCCCAGGAAAATCACTCATTTGCGCCAGTAGCCCATTGATGAAATCGGTGAATAGCTCGGCAGTGAATGAGCCTTCCACAATCTTCAGCCAAATAATGCCATTGAGGCATAAAGCTGGCAAGACGGAGTATCTGAGCCTTTGTATGAGATTATTTTCCACAAAAGATGAGAATTATTCATACCTTCGACCCCGAATGAAGTGGCAGCGCTTTGTCGCGCGCTCCCCACGGAGAGACCAACCATAATCCCGATATGTAGTATGCTTATCAAATGAACTCTCGTCAATGAAAACTAGCTGCTCTGGCTTATATTGTCCAATTTCGAGTAGAAAATTGGCCCGTTTGACTTCGCTGCACTCGATTGCCACCTTCGTCATCTGTCACGAAATCATGGTTAATAAATACAAGGGAAATGGGTGTAAATAGCCACCTTTTTCCATGTCAATCCAGCATTCTGTAATGCACGCCAAATGGTGGAAAGGGATACATCAAGATCCCGGAACTCACGCAGGTGAGCTTGGAGTTCTTCGAGGTAAAAATCTTTGCGGAATTCCAACAGACCTAACAAGTACTAACCTATGCACTTAGAGAGGCCAGGAATATAGTGATTGGAAAAATACTTACGCTGATATCATTCTCTTCTATGAGGCGTGGCCGACCAGCTTTGGATGGCCCATGTGAAATTCTGAATGCGCCACCATTCGCCTGGCAGTTTTCACGTACACGATACACTGTCCATAAGCTCACACCAGCTACCAATGCAATCTGTTCAGGATGGACATGGAGTGCCAACATCCTTGCAACAACATTGCCACGTTCCTCAGTGATCCTCTGGACACCTGAAGTCACCAAAACAGTAGGCGCACTTGTAGGTGCACAGGGGACAGTGCCACTCAGAGGATAGTCCATGGTCTAGCGGGTTTGTTCAACAATGGTGGCTTTGCTCTCGTGACTATGATATTAGGAGTTGTCCGAATTATATTACGCTTACACATTGTTATGTTGTTCCCTTTGGCTTTCCAGGAATTAAACCAAGTCATACGCTCTTTGTGTAACCTGGGGCAGGGCTGATTCAGACTTTCAAGACCTCTCAGCATGGAAAACACGAGAAAAAAAATTTTTGTTTAAAAACAATTTGGTTTGCACCTGCTTCATGCGCTACTCGGACGCTTTCCAACGCATGTTGAATCACCAAAATCGGCCCAGTTTTGAGTGAGCAGTGACGCGAAAGATTTTGCGGAATTTTGAATTTCGGAGTTTGCCTCGAATTTTGCAAATGGCAATAAGCAATTTCAATAAAGAAACAGCTCCACAGGGCTCGGTTTATCTGTAAGTCAATTCCCAGGAACTTTAAAACTAACCCATAAGAATAGAATTAGCCAAAACACTCGGATTGGTACTATATTTACAATAAATAACACTAGTACACTTCCCCATCCTAACTAAAGAACCAGGGAACAGCTTGGTGGTGGTCTCGTTTGAACCTCCCAACTGACCTTCCTTCGTTCTCTCCTTCAGCGGCACATGGAAGCGATTCACAGATTGGGTGGTGCACTGAAAATGATGCATGGGTAGCTTCAAATGACACTCTACTTGCACTTGGAGAAGAGTTGTTGGGCCGTACTTGGTTGAACTGTGGACCACCACTGATTGCGCAAAGTTCGATTGACTCCATGTGCAACGGTGTCAGGGGACAAACCCTGGGTCCCCATGACCCCTCTCTCTACATCCCACAGTCTGACCTGTAACAGCCCATCCTAGGGCACAATGCTACTGTGGGTAAGAAAGTGAGAAGAAGGTTAACTTCTCACTTTCCCACAGTGGCCCCAATATGGCGAAAACTTCTGGGGATACCTGGAAGTCACATGAAGAATGGGAACCAGGCCTGGAGCATGTGGCATGTGCAGCATGCAGGGCAGAAGCACACATGTGGGTCCAGGTCTGGGCTAGTCAGGGTGTGTGCCTTGACAAATGGGCCCAATTAGGAAAGTGAGGTTGGGGATTTAGGATGCTGCAAGACTTGACACTGGATGACTTATGTTTGGCTAAAGTCTTGAAGTCTAGTAACAACAAAGTTCAGGCACAACTATTGCCCAGACTTCATATAATATGGAGTTGGAAATGATAATAAACTCTATGTGTGTTGCTAATATATGGTCTCAAAGATGGGCACGTTAGGGGGCCGGGAAAGGAGGAATAATTGAGTCTTGATGATGAAAGATATGTGTCCTTCCCAGATGGACCTTGCTGATATCATTGATTGGGGCATGTCCTAGGTTTTGAAGAGACAGGATCCAAGTGTCAATGCATGGGTTGTAGGTCACAAGACTGATGATAAGAGGTCTATTTGCTGAGGACCTGTAATTCATGATTCGAGAAAGTTAATATGCCTTCTGAAAGAAACCACAATCTCAGGATTAGGCAGGATATCAACCTCTATGATAACTCAGGTCCCCTGCTGATTGGTTCTCAGCCCTCTAGTACTTATGAGTCAGGAACAGTGTGCGGCGTAAGATGAACTTGAACTGGATGGTGAAAGGGACAGCCCTAGCAGATGGAAGGACAGCACTGGAGTGGGCAGTTTATCTCTAATATTTTGGGGATTTCTTTCACCATTCTGGGACATGAACTGAGCTGACATGGATTTTGCATGCTGTCATATCCATACATACCTGATGCCGATCCGACTCCTGGACCCCCATCTTCATCACCTCTGGAGTCCTACCCTATCTCCATCCGCTCCTTCAGACCAAACATCACTCCTCTCACCACCCTCCTCCTCACTCCTCACGTCACCTCCACCCTTCTGTCCCTCTCCTATCCTACCTCCGTCTGCTCCAATACTCACCTTTGGACCTGACACCATTCCTCCTCCACTCCTCTCCCCACTCCTCTCCCCACTCCTCTCATCACTCCTCTCATCACTCTCTTCCCTCCTACCCTCTTCTGCCAAACCTCTGCCAAGTTACGACCTTCTGCCACATTCCCATATCCTGTACTTGGACACCACCCATACCTTCGCTCCAAGATCCCATCTTAGTCCCAACCTCGGACTTTGACTCCACCTCGGCTTAAGTCCATTGCATTGGTGACCTCATACTACGTTGTAGGAGAAATAACGGCCACACTATGGAAACCCATTATGAAAATATGCCAGATAAATCACAAAACCTCATACGACAAGTAGATATGAGAACATAGAAGGACCTGAATTTTAACGAATTTTACGAATTTTTATGAATTATTACGACTATACACAATAAATTGAAAGAAAGAAAAATAACAAAAATACTTCAAGCTTACCATCAACGAGACGGAATTCTCGGGGGAATTTATAGCAAATATTAAACCAAGAATTAGGACAATCGACCAAGATTTGACTATAAAAATAATCAGAGAACCTCCACGGAAACTACTTTCCCACGTCCGCACACATAGCAAGGATGGAAGTACCACGGAACAAAGATTCCTCAGGAACTAATGCAAAAGTCAAAGTCGTGTTTATAATAGGAAATGTAGATGTCACCCAAACGGAACCAATGAGAGTAATTATAGGGGAAACTACCCATAAACGACGGAGATATGACTAAAACTCCTGCAAAACGAGGACAATGTCTAAAAAGCAAGCGCGAAGATTAACTAGTAACGACCGAGACAAGCTTGATAGCCCATTAGAAAGGAAAGGATCTACTCTTAATCCTCCCAAATTTCCATAATAAAAGGATCATGCGTTAATGAGAAATCCAATAACGGGAATAGCGACATCAAAAGTCCGAGCTCAGGGACAAGACGATGATTGCGTAGGATCCATAATTAAAACATACAACGAAATTTACACGGAAATTATGAAAAATAGGAAACTATAGTTATGCAAATTCTCAGCCCAAACGGTCCAGCCGTTGTGAAGTTATACCCATGACGGGAATATAGGAATCCGCATCATGTGTAATGACACGTGAGGGTGGCGATGCGCAGGGAACCGGCCGTCGGAACCGAGATCCGCACTTCGGCAGATCGCGAAGACCAATTTCCGTCCAAATAAGGAAGAGCCCGGTCAAAACAAAGCACGAAAGGTGCAAAACAACCTTAGATCATGAGGGAAAAATCTGAAATAAATCACAGAAGCCCATATGAAAGAAATAAACACCCGCGCATATCATAAAACCCGAACAACTAAACGAAAACGGCTCCCGCATACAAACAACTATGGGAACGACGCACGTGATTACCGAATGTGCATGCGAAACTTTGCTAACTCAACGAATACAGGGAAATAGGACACAACCTTAGTACCATTGGAAAGGTGGGAATAAATGGAAATTTATGATACCAAGAACGTGAGAAAACATCCAGAAATGAATGAGATACAAGGACATGAAGTTAGAAACCTGAAAACACGCGGGAAGACAGCTTCAAGAGGTCTAGAGCCCTAAATAAAATACATAAAAATATGATATCTTCGAGGACGACCTACTATAACAACGAACAATACATATGGAGGATTAGGATGTGATAATACAAAAGGGAATCAGGGAATATGAACGAAATTCACGAAAACTACTAAACTACGACGGACCATGGCGGGAATTTGAGGGAACGATGTTCTAATGAAGTAGAGAGCTATAACACATTCG